GATATTGCTACTAAACTTCTGGTGAGTGATCGAAGTCTGACCCCCAAGAGAAATAGACAGCTGAAATTTGTGGGCGTGGCCTATTTTCTTAAATAGCGCCCCCTAGAGCCATTTGAACTGTCAGCCCCAAGCCATGCTTTGACTGAGGATTACGAAATTTGGTACACTAATGTGGTGTCTCAGGACCTACAAAAAAGTCTCTTGGAGCCAAGCGCAAAGTCGCACAGGAAGTCGGCCATTTTGGTCCAAGTACTCGATTTAGTGGTTTACGCACACGTTGTTTGGAGAGTGATGCTCCATCGTCCTTTTCACCAATCTCCTTCAAACTTCTGCTATATACTCTTAAGACATAGAGGAACAAATTCAACCGTCGGATTTTTCAAAAGTTGAAAGGTGTGGGCGTGGCTAAGCCTCAAACTTTAACCTGTCACCATTACATTACTTGACTTAATAACTCCCAAGTGCATGATCAGATCTATTTCAAACTTTGTCTGTGTGATCACTGACCACATCTCAAGACAACGACAATGTGGACAGCTGACATCACCTAAGCCCTGCCCCCTGACAACAGGAAGTCTGTTGTTTTATGGTGAAATGCCCATATTTGTCCCCTCTAATTTAGTGAACATGACACTAAGGTCATACACTGTCTTCATGATGTTGTAATGACCATTCAGATCTGATAGCTTTCCAGAAAGGGAGGGGCTTTGATGCTATGGTGAATGCTGGCGTGACGCCATGACCTTACATTTGACTGTAACTTCCACAAACGGCCTCCGATTTCCCCGAAATTGAACATGGCGATGAACAATCATGCCCTTTAGCCAATGAGGCACAAACGGTTGGTGAATGTTGTATAATGTCACCAACGCTGACCTCAATGGGACTTTTCTGTAGTTGGTCACAGCGCCCCCATGATAACGTTATCCTTCGATAACTTTAAAAAACATGGTCAGAATAGCATTAAAGTTGGTCACTGTCATCACACCACCAGTGTGGTAAAGATAGAGGATTCCCTAGTGGTGAGACATAAAATATAATGGTGAGCTCATAGGGGATGCTGAGTCAGGGTGAGGTGCGGACGAGGTGACCGTTAGCAGTTTCTGGTGTCAGGGTGGTCGACGTTTCTGTTTCGCAGACGTAGCCTGGTGCCCCGGGCTGCCGGCCAGGCCGGAACGGCGCGGAGCTGCGAGGGCCGAACGACGCTGCTTGCAGCTTCAATTATCTATTATTTTTTGTTCTTGTGAAGCGCCTTGTGATTTTTTTCTTGAGGCGCTATAAAAAATATCATATTTTTTTTATTTGACATAAACAAGCCTTCTTGACAATCCTTGTCATTGTGTGCCAAAGAAAAGTGTATAAATAAAAACAACCACCGTGTGTTAACAGAGAAATAGCTGATGAGCAGTGTTGATGCATGTTGACGCATGGGTCATGAGCGGTTCTGATTTCTTGTGGATTACAGCTGCTCTCAGGACCACTTCGTCAGTGCCATACCCTCACGATAGCCTGGCCTGGTGTGTGATGTCCATGATGCTGTAGTTTTTTTTTAGCTGTAGTCAAAAATGGCGTCTAGCAATGGCACAACCATCTTTCTTTAGAAGAAAGGCATTTATCACTTCAACTTTTTGTGGTTTTAAAGACATGTTCAAGGGGGGTGAGAGTGAGTGGTGCTCAGGGGGAGTTGGGAGATGCTGTTGAACGTTGTGAAATTTGGAGGTGGGGGGAGATTGGCTGGCTGAGTGGAGGTAGTAGGGGGATGGTAGAATAGGTGGTACCTGTTGCAGCTGTGTTAAAAAGCAGGTTAAGCTTGTTTGCCTAGTTCTGGTCCCCTTCAGCATACTCACTGGCACCACTCCTCCCACTGTGACCTGTGATTCCTGAGGCCTCTCCATGCACCACAAGCATTGTTCTGCCCCAGCTGTTTCTCCAGCTTCTTTCAGTGACACAGTGAGTCAGGCTGTCACATCATCACTATGAGTGCTGCAGAGTGTCTCCCAGTCAGTGGTTTGGAAACAGTCCCTCAACATTTCTGTTGCTCCCTCAGACAACACTTTCACTATTTTTTCTGAGGAGGCTAAAATGTTGATCCTTAAGCCACCAAAAAGAATTTCCTCCCCACCTTGGCTGCACTTAGAAATACTGTCCATAAAGGTTAAGAAAACAATCGGTCACAATGGGAAGCCTTGGCAGAGTCCGACTCTCACTGGAATCAAGCCCGACTTACTGCCAGCAATGCGGACCCAGCTCTGATACCAGTTTTACAACGACCAAACAGCCGGTATCAAGCAGTCTGGTACCCTTTACTCCCAGAGTACCCCCCTATAGGGCCCCCGAGCGACACGGTCGAAAGCCTTCTCGAAATCCCCAAAACACATGTAGACTGGTTGGGCAAACTCCCACGCACCCTCCAGGACTCCCCTAAGGGTATAGAGGTTGTCCAGTCTTGATGATTGGACGATACTTAACTGTCAGTGTCCACCAAGCCCCCACAATGCGGGTCAAAAATTGAAGCAAACACGGAAATTACATAAGTTGCAGTTCCACCCTCATCCACTGGGGGCTGGTGTCAGAAGCGAGCAAATCCACATTGACTCCCATGTTAAAAATACCTATTTCACAGCAGAAATAAACATGTTTACAGCCTGGTACCAAAACATGTTTTTGGTTTAAATGATCTAGTTTACACTCATGACAACTCTGAGGGGGGTGAATTTTTTTCTCACTCTTCTGTTTAAGTGTATTAAAAGCCTAAAATTCTGTATAATTAATGAGCATCAGACCCACGTGACCGCAGAGCTAGCTCCGTGGAAAGGCCTCAGTAGAGCCTCGGTCTGGCCTGGAAACTGTTCCAGGATTTTGAGTCTGTGTTTGTGTATTCTTTGTTGGATATTTTTTGTGCAATTGTTGGACAAAATGACTTGCTGTGGCATTAATTGCACTAATAGAGCGTCCAAGGAGTCTCCACATCATTTTTTTCGGTAAGTAAAATAATATTTATGTACTTTAGGTCACTGCCGAGCTGAGCTTAGATTTTAACATGTACTGTTTAACCATGAAATTTAAATGTAATAGGGTAAAACCCAGTGCATTTAACATAATGCTGCACTTTAGAAAATGGGTTGAAATATAACATGTTGGTGGAGCTGGGTTCCCACTATCGGCTTGTGGAGCTCTCGGGAGACCGATGTTTTCCACCCAGTTCTCCCCTCCCCGCAGCTCGGCGCATCTCTGTCTGATCGCGGCTTCTGTTTGCTGTGTGACTGCCGGCTTGTGGAGCTCTCAGAGACCTCTGTGTTCCACCCGGTTTTACCCAGCGGTCAGCCCGGCGTATCCCTGACTCAGAAGCTCTGGTGTTGTGCACAGTTAACTCCGGTTGTAGCTAGGTTGCTACCTCTGTTAGCTTAGCTCCCACCTCCGCGTTAGCTTTGGGTTAGCTTCAGGTCAGCTTGTAGCTAGTTCGACCGGGTGTCTTCAGTTGATCCCAGCCTTACAGCCCCACCCTCAGCTCCACCTCTCTTCCCTTTTGTGGAATTGTCTGGGCTTGACGGAACCTATGACACGGTCAAAAAGGCGGTGGTGGCCACCTCCCATTTTAGTACAAAAACTTATTATTGGAGTCTATGGAAACCCATTGTCCAATATTTATATGTCGATGGTGTCCACCAGCAGGTTAAGGGGTTGCCGCCAAGACAGGCACCGACCATCAAGAAAAGGGATCATCCAATTCACGTTAATGTAATAATTGTGCCAGGCATTTTGCAAGCTCCACCCCCTCCCTGCTTTTACGGTGATGGAAGGTCCATGCGTATAGCGCTGCAATGTCAAGAGTGGAGGCACGTGTGTGCTTGTTAAATTTTGCCATTTGGATCATCATTGTATTTTTCAGGGAAGCCAAAATTCTCCCATACACGCGACTTAAAGCATGTGGGTTTTTTTGGCTGTTGGTACTTGATTTTCTGTGTGAATTAAGACATGTTGACTCCTGAGGAAATGTCTAATCATGTTCATGTGAGAAGACGGTGTTCCCTCACCGTGCAGGATAAGGATGCGTCCATAAGCACAGGAAAGAGTGACGTCGGACGACCGAGGGGAATCCCTTCCAACAGGGTTTCCTGAGCCTTGAGTTTGGCAGGCCCAGCCAAGGCTTTGGCTCAATACTCCATGGCTGCTGGGAACTGCAGCCAGGTGGGGTCAGGACAGCAGACCTGTGTGGCGCCAAAGCGTCTTGCCAAGTCATCCAACTGAGGAGGGGCCAGCTAAACGTTTGCGTTCAGCTGCAGCTGAGATGATGGCAGGCATCTCCTGGAGCAGCACTCTGATGGCTAGGAGAGGAGTAGAGGAGAAACGCGGGACACTTGGAGGCGAGGCCCAAGTTGAAGGTGGCCAATTGTCAACCTCCAGACTGTCCAGGAAGGATGCATCAGCAGGGCTAAGGCTGCCAGCCTCATAATCATCGTTGTCAGCAAGGTCTGAGTCATCCGATTCCTGCCAAGTACCAAAAGACTGGAGTGCATTGTGCAGCGGGTACGTCTCAGCTATAGAGAATATGCCTTCAGAGGCAAACACGAACAATTCCACATGGTGGAGCTCCTCGGCTGAGAGCAGAGCTGCACAGAAGAGGCAGGATGCCTGCGGCGTCAGGGTGAGACCTGCTTGATGTGCCCCAAGGCAGACATTGCACTTAGCGTGGAGGTCTCCATTCATGATATAGCTGGTTTGATAGGAAGGACAAAGAGGGTGTCGCTGAAAATGGTGAGTAAAAACATTTTTAGGATCATTTGATCCTGCTAGTGTGTAGCATGAAGAGAAAATGGGAGAGATTTTGTGGGTTTACACCCCTTTTATACCAGATTGGGATGGGTGTATAATAAAAGCTCTTAAGTTAATGGCTGATTCAAAGAGAACTTACCCAATAGTAAGGCCTTAAGGGGTAAAGTCTATATGAAATAGAACTAAACAGGCATTCAGAAGTAGCCTCAGACTTTGGGCTGACATACTTCCCAGCATTAGTGAGTTTGTTGAGTGCATCTCTGGAGATGACATGGCCACAGATCAGCTTCATGGGAGGATTGCTCTCCGAAGTCTGCTGTCGGAGAATCGGGCAGGCGAACACAGAGTGGTACCAGCACTTCTTCCCCAGGTCAATTTCAATCTAAATATGCAGACAACCTGAATCAGCTCAAGACGCTGCAGGAGAAGTGACATAAACACTGAACCAGGACTTACAGGCAGCTCATCTTTATGTGTCCACACTCCACTGCATTGTCTCTGCTCTATCACCTGTTTGATGTTCATCAGCACCGGCAAGGCCATGCATCCTGATGCAAAACTGGAACAATCACCAAAACGACAGTTACCAACGTTACAACAAATAAAGTGGGAGTAGATTTAAAAAACTACATTCAGAGAACGTTTGTCCCACCTAACACTTAGTGGAGACTCCACAGAGAGACCCAGCAAAGCGCAGGCATCTCTGGTGAAAATGTTACAGATCTCCGCCCACTGGCTTGTCTCCAACAGGCTACGGTAGGGAGAGTTCTCAATTCCATGGCGAAGGTACACCAGGCTGCCCATCAGGATCTGAATATCTGCAGTTAGGGAGAGAGACGGCTCAGATTAGTTGCACAAAATGGGGTGAAAGGACCAATATTCACAGAACGTGTTCCATCGCACCTCCTTTGGCCTCTTTCTAGCCTCTATTCTTTGTTTAATGGACTTGATTTTAAAAGATTTTCTTTCTTATGTTTTTGACAAACCCCAGCTAGGTCAGACTGCCGTTTCCAGCGTTTGGCTTGATTCTAATGCATTTTCCTTCTTCTAATGCTTTGACAGTTCGGTTGTCTTTACTACCTGACAATTATCTGTGATGTTCTTTTTCCCCTATAAAAAATGAAGTGATTTTATAGCTTCTACCAGGTGTTGTACTACAGACCTCTCTGGTGCTGAGAGGCAAAGGGTTGGAAGTGCCTGGAGTACTGCAGAGCCTCCACCTGGTTCCCGATTCCACCGCTGAGCAGGCTGATGAAGTACATGCGGTGCAGCTTGAACTCTAAACTGCTGTTAAGCTCCAGAAGGCGCTGACGATTTGTAACAGCCCACCTACCAAGGTGCAGACACAGGTATAGTATGGTATGGAAACACCACAAGATCTCCTGTGCTAATTGAACACAGACTATAATAAATACAACATACTCTAAAGCCGGCCTTAGATCCTGCATCCTCAGAGCTTCGAGAATCCTGTTTAGTTCGAGGAAAGGCTGCTTCATATTCATGTCAATAACTACACCCGACTCCTGGAACAAAAAACAAACATATAAACATCAGAAATAGTGTCAACCCCCAACTTGACAGCCTGAAGTCAGTAGTTCCTAAACAACGAACTTTTACATGACTCTGTCTTAACTTAAGATAGAACTCATTTCAGCCAATTGGTTATTAAGCATGAGTTGAGAACCATCTTTCTCTAAACATCAAATAACAAAATAACTGTTAAAGAATGGCAATTCTGCAAAACAAGCTAGCTTCCATCATTTGTTCATGCCTCTTAAATTTCGTTCTGACATAGTATAGCTTTGAATACATCGTGGTATTTAAAGATCAGGTTTACTCAGTTTTAATGTATTTGCAGTGTTTTCTTGTAAGAAAGCCATTCTCTGGCAAAAAGCAGCTTCAGTTCGTCTGTTTGAGAACATTAAAGTCAGCTGGAGGAGAAAGTAGCATCAGACAGTCTTATTTCCTGATATTTGTACATCTCACCTCTAGCCAACACCAATGTAACTCTAGCACCAACTCTAAACCAGGGGTATTCAATTCAGGGCCTGGAGCTCTGGTATCCAGCCCGTTTTAGTGGTTTCTCTGATTCAGTACACTTTACTCACCAGTGCAGCCGCTCATCATGCTCTGTAGAACTATGTTAACTACCTACTGATTGTGTAGTGTACCCAAAGGTCAAGTATTTTCATCAAAATGAACAGAAATTAACTTTTTAATTTGCAGACACAAACACACCATCTGTCTGGCCTCCAGACAAGACAAGCACTGCACAAGGTTTTGTCACCAGATAAAGGAGACATAATAAAACTAGTTACCTTATCTTGGCTGGAACAAATGCACTTTTATGCACTTTCACTCTGAATAAAGTTCTTCTTCCTTCAATCATAAATGACTTTTTTTAAAACTTAATTACGTACGTTAAATCCTGAAGTGTTTGAATAATATGTGCACATTGATCAATGATGTGTTCAAATGAATATTTTTCCTGCAGTGAATCATTTCAGATCTTAAACTACACCAGATCAGTATTTGTTGAGTTAACAAGTTTATCTATCAGTCTATATCATAAGATTGATATTAAGGTTTTTACATTCACTTCACACTAAGAGTTAACCTCTCGGAGTAGCTGAGTGAAGGTGTGACTTTTGGAGATCTTTGTTAATGTCCTCTTAAACGTGTCAAACTCTGATTTGTCTGAGTTTATAAACAAAGTTAATAAAAGCTAGAACACTTCATGATCTAGCTGGTCTTCGCCGTTCCCTTGATAAGGCCAATCGGGCGAACAAGCATTTTTGAGACTATCCTATCTTTTGAACTCAAGGTCAAAGCCTCTCTGCAACACTTGCGACTGATTTCAGACACAACAGCTCTTTTAAGAGCCACCAAACAGCCTTAGAAACTCCAGCTTCCTGCCGTCACCTGAAGATAACCCGGACTAGAAGGTTTGTACTCTGAGCTGGCTACGAGCTCCGATATCAGAGGTCAACACCATTTGCAGTGTTCATTTCGACCTCCTTGACCCCCTGAAGATCTTCACACAGGGGTGCGTAAACTGGCACAAATTGCGTTGGACGGTTTTATGAACAAATCTCTAGCTTATCAAACCACACAGCAAAATTAATTTTAGCACCCAGACTCCACAATCTCTCTCTGATACTTATAAGGTATTGCTAAAACATAATGCTCTCATTCCACTCATCATCTGTTATCTGTACAACCATCATTTCATTCATACTTGTCATGTAAAATGTACATACATGTACAATAATTTAAATGAGGAAAATAGGATTAAAGTCATTTTTACAACTATATTCTTAACTGTCTGAATTAGTGTGTTCCCTGAATAAGTCAAATAAACTAAAGTCTTCTGATTAAACATTCAAAGACCAATCTGATTGATATGTCATATTTATATAGAACACCATATCTTATTTATTAAATGATCAATAAGTAGCTAATGATTAACGCTACATTTTCTGGTGAGCCAATCCAGTCTATTCAAATCATAACACTTCATGTTAGTTGATACTTTCTAAAGTTAAAATCTCTTTTGCTGGGTTTTGTTCTGCTGAAACAATTCAGAGCCTCCCGTCTTTCTTATCAGCTAAGAGCTCTGACTCATCTCACACACAACCAAGTCCGTAACGTGCTGACTCATCTCACACACAACCAAGTCCGTAACACGCTGACTCATCTCAAACACAACCAAGTCCGTAACACGCTGACTCATCTCACACACAACCAAGTCCGTAACGTGCTGACTCATCTCACACACAACCAAGTCCGTAACACGCTGACTCATCTCACACACAACCAAGTCCGTAACATGCTGACTCATCTCACACACAACCAAGTCCGTAACGTGCTGACTCATCTCACACACAACCAAGTCCGTAACACACTGACTAATCTCACACACAACCAAGTCCGTAACGCGCTGACTCATCTCACACACAACCAAGTCCGTAACACGCTGACTCATCTCACACACAACCAAGTCTGTAACGTGCTGACTCATCTCACACACAACCAAGTCCATAAAACGCTGACTCATCTCTCACACAACCAAGTCCGTAACGTGCTGACTCATCTCACACACAACCAAGTCCGTAACGCGCTGACTCATCTCACACACAACCAAGTCCGTAACACGCTGACTCATCTCACACACAACCAAGTCTGTAACATGCTGACTCATCTCACACACAACCAAGTCCGTAACGTGCTGACTCATCTCACACACAACCAAGTCCATAAAACGCTGACTCATCTCTCACACAACCAAGTCCGTAACACGCTGACTCATCTCACACACAACCAAGTCCGTGACGTGCTGACTCATCTCACACACAACCAAGTCCGTAACGAGCTGACTCATCTCACACACAACCAAGTCCGTAACACGCTGACTCATCTCACACACAACCAAGTCCGTAACATGCTGACTCATCTCACACACAACCAAGTCCGTAACGTGCTGACTCATCTCACACACAAACAAGTCCATAAAACGCTGACTCATCTCTCACACAACCAAGTCCGTAACACGCTGACTCATCTCACACACAACCAAGTCCGTGACGTGCTGACTCATCTCACACACAACCAAGTCCGTAACGTGCTGACTCATCTCACACACAACCAAGTCCATAAAACGCTGACTCATCTCTCACACAACCAAGTCCGTAACACGCTGACTCATCTCACACGCAACCAAGTCCGTAACGTGCTGACTCATCTCACACGCAACCAAGTCCGTAACACGCTGACTCATCTCACACACAACCAAGTCCGTAACGTGCTGACTCATCTCACACACAACCAAGTCCGTAACGTGCTGACTCATCTCACACACAACCAAGTCTGTAACACACTGACTCATCTCACACACAACCAAGTCCGTAACGTGCTGACTCATCTCACACAAAACCAAGTCCGTAACGTGCTGACTCATCTCACACACAACCAAGTCCGTAACGTGCTGACTCATCTCACACACAACCAAGTCTGTAACACACTGACTCATCTCACACACAACCAAGTCCGTAACGTGCTGACTCATCTCACACACAACCAAGTCCGTAACGTGCTGACTCATCTCACACACAACCAAGTCCGTAACGTGCTGACTCATCTCACACACAACCAAGTCCGTAACGTGCTGACTCATCTCACACACAACCAAGTCCGTAACACGCTGACTCATCTCACACACAACCAAGTCCGTAACGTGCTGACTCATCTCACACACAACCAAGTCTGTAACACGCTGACTCATCTCACACACAACCAAGTCCGTAAAGTGCTGACTCATCTCACACACAACCAAGTCTGTAACACGCTGACTCATCTCACACACAACCAAGTCCGTAACGTGCTGACTCATCTCACACACAACCAAGTCCGTAACGTGCTGACTCATCTCACACACAACCAAGTCTGTAACACACTGACTCATCTCACACACAACCAAGTCCGTAACGTGCAGACTCATCTCACACAAAACCAAGTCCGTAACGTGCTGACTCATCTCACACACAACCAAGTCCGTAACGTGCTGACTCATCTCACACACAACCAAGTCTGTAACACACTGACTCATCTCACACACAACCAAGTCCGTAACGTGCTGACTCATCTCACACACAACCAAGTCCGTAACGTGCTGACTCATCTCACACACAACCAAGTCCGTAACGTGCTGACTCATCTCACACACAACCAAGTCCATAACGTGCTGACTCATCTCACACACAACCAAGTCCGTAACACGCTGACTCATCTCACACACAACCAAGTCCGTAACGTGCTGACTCATCTCACACACAACCAAGTCTGTAACACGCTGAGTCATCTCACACACAACCAAGTCCGTAAAGTGCTGACTCATCTCACACACAACCAAGTCTGTAACACGCTGACTCATCTCACACACAACCAAGTCCGTAACACGCTGACTCATCTCACACACAACCAAGTCCGTAACACGCTGACTCATCTCACACACAACCAAGTCCGTAACACGCTGACTCATCTCACACACAACCAAGTCCGTGACGTGCTGACTCATCTCACACACAACCAAGTCCGTAACGTGCTGACTCATCTCACACACAACCAAGTCCGTAACGTGCTGACTCATCTCACACACAACCAAGTCCGTAACGTGCTGACTCATCTCACACACAACCAAGTCCGTAACACACTGACTCATCTCACACACAACCAAGTCCGTAACACACTGACTCATCTCACACACAACCAAGTCCGTAACACGCTGACTCATCTCACACACAACCAAGTCCGTAACGTGCTGACTCATCTCACACACAACCAAGTCCGTAACGTGCTGACTCATCTCACACACAACCAAGTCCGTAAAGTGCTGACTCATCTCACACACAACCAAGTCCGTAACGTGCTGACTCATCTCACACACAACCAAGTCGTAACACGCTGACTCATCTCACACACAACCAAGTCCGTAACGTGCTGACTCATCTCACACACAACCAAGTCCGTGACGTGCTGACTCATCTCACACACAACCAAGTCTGTAATGTGCTGACTCATCTCACACACAACCAAGTCTGTAACACACTGACTCATCTCACACACAACCAAGTCCGTAACACACTGACTCATCTCACACACAACCAAGTCCGTAACACACTGACTCATCTCACACACAACCAAGTCAGTAACTACTCTAAGCTTTTGCTTACAAGATTGTTTACCTTCGAAGGGGAGTGAATGTGTTTGTGTGTCTTCTGATTAAACATTCAAAGACCAATCAGATTGATATTTCATATTGATCATTTAATAAATAGGTAGCTAATCATTAACGCTATAACCTGCTGATTAGAGCCAGGTGTGTTGAAATAGTTCAAACTAAAACGTGCTGGATACTGGACCTGCAGGTCTGGAATTAAATATCCCTGCTCTTAACTAACAACAGCCCTCCCCGTCGTGAGCCGACATGGCCATGTCCATGAATGTTAATTGACATTGTGATGTAGATTTGTCAGACTTTTCTGAACTGTGCGGTTTCCCATATATTTTCTATCAGACGCTAATGCAAAAATAGTAATTAAAAGATGGTTTTTCAGTTTAAAAAAATGAAGTGGTTCATTTGCATTTGGCTAAAAACATCAGCCAATAACACATAAGCTCGAAACCAAATTCGGTTGTCAGTCTCCCAAACCACCTCACTTCCCGCTCGACTCATTGCGTACTCGCCCAGTATGCAACAGAACTCCACTGCTGTGAGAGACTTTCAGCTCAATAATGTCAGATAAAGAAACAGCCGGGTGCTACCACTTCAACCTTACGACAAACTACCAGAGAACCAAAAAGAAAAACACCATTTTAAGTGACGGAAAAAAGATGCTTGAAAACTGCAACTAGTGTTTAGTGTGTGTATATCAGGGGGGCATGGCCTAGGGATGGTAGCCAATGGGAGGGGTGACTGTTTTTAAAAGCTAGCTTGTTTTGCAGATTTGCTATTGCAGCTTTAAAAACTCAACTGCTTTTACGTCACACCCACTCGCACAGCCAGTACATTGTAGAAAAAGATAAAAAACACTGGTATTGATGAACAGCTCTGAGAATGTCTTGATTTACTTTAAACACTTATAATGTGAACCAAGCACAAAGGTGCTCGTTTACTCAGTCACCCACAAACTTGCGAACTGACAGAAAGTTAAGAAAAATATACAAATATGATCACGACTTAGTGCACGTCTTCTTCCATTTGATAAGTTTTACATTTAGACATTTTATTATATAAATCACTGCTTTGAAGCATGCAGTCACTAACCTGACAGAGGTCCTCTGCCACACTCAGCATTCCTTGCCTGTACAAGTGCTCCACTATAGATTCACTCAGGTGTTTCTGTCTCTCGGGGGTGTCCCACACAGTCTCTGCCACCACAGCGCTGATTTCAGCATCAAAGTTCTACAGAAAGATATCCCCAAGGTGATGCACATGTATGTCACATTTTAAAGGTTAGAAATACATTGTTCCTACGCTTTTCCCACCGTCAAATTTAAGTTCTTTTCAAGCATTATCAAGGTCAATTTTAAAGTCTGCAAGCACCACACTAAGATAAAACAATATAATAGAACTCGAGGACCGTTTCATCTCACCACCATATGAAAGAGAAAGAGGCAGAGGGGAAAACGTTATCTCTGGCCTGCTCCAAAACAATAAAAGTTCTCTCAATCCGACTCCGTTTGGCCTTGGCTTATGAAAACTACGTTTCCTGTGGAATTAATACAGAAACTCGCTCTCACCCTACTCCTGATGTGGAACTGTTGGATTTGGATGGAAGGTCAGGGAACCATGAAAGACTCACTGCTTGTTATCCCTTGACTCCAAAGTTTTCATGTAATTAAGGTGTTTGTCCAGGAGCACTACTCAGCCTGAAACAGCTCTGTACATCAGAAGGAGGGCAGCAGTTGCGTGGGGGTTACTCAAGACAAAATTTCACTCGTGAAAAATTGCATATGGTAATCAGTAAACAGTGTAAGGTAACCTGGATGCTCCAAAGAAACACAACTCGGGTGAAAAATGTTGGAGTTGATGGACATTTTGCTCAGTTTTATGGCTTTTTGTCAAACTCTGAACCAAGAAATGGCTGCAGGCAGTGAAACACAAGGCAAAAAACTCGGAGCAACCAGTGACTCCACCCCCTAGCCAATCAGTGGCCAGAATCACAATGCTGCCCGACTCAGCCTTGCCAGGTACCTCAATGGCGCAGGGACTAAATATAGGGAAGAAAGTATAGGGAAAACACTGAACCGTGCCCTCGAGTTCAGTGGTCGGGCTCCTGGAAAAACACTTTCAGTAAGTCCTGGCTGGCCACTTTTCTTTTAGTTTTCTAGTTGCAGTCAGCATTAGTCTTACTTTGTCACCTCACACCTGTAGCTTAATAATAATAATTATTATTATAGTAATTTGTCACCTTACGCATTTAGCTTAATAAATGTTTTCACATACTTAGTAATTCCTGGCTGGCTAATTCACTGGCTTACTTCAATACTCAATGCTTATTTGATATCCTGTTAGTCTTCCAGTTTTAGTCCAATGCTGATTTTTGGTGTGTCGTAGGCGTGGTTCAGGAATTTCAGCCGTGGCTAATTAGTCCTTTGTGGTGCACTACATTTGGGACTTGAAAAATCATTTGTCTTTGTCCCGAATAGTGCTTGTAATAACTGTTGACCGCATAGAATTTCAGCATTTTAATGCCCAGTCACCAAAGTAAATAGCACCGCAGGCTACACCCAGACTGCCATCTGCATTTGGTGACATCGATCAATCAATCAGTTTATTCATAAAGCTCATTTCCACCCACAATCAAGGTAGTCTGGCCTGCCAGACTCGTCCTCTGTTTAAGTCTGCTAACTCACAGGCAGAGAGGCACATGAGGGGCGGGACTGCACAGCTCAAAAATGACCAATCAGAAAAAAGACAGAAATCCCGACTGTACCGCACAACGCAGTAGTTTTCTAGTTGTAGTAAAAAAAATGGTGTATGGCAATGGCGCAGACATCTTTTTTCTTTTTTAGAAGAAATACTTTTAGCGCTCCTACTTGTGGTTTTAAAGACATTTGAGTCATTTAGAACAGAGGAAAGAGCCGCAGCAAACTCCACCACTGTCTTCGTTGTTTATGAGAAACTGAGCGTCCACGACGCTGTAGTTTTTTAGCTGTAGTAAAAATGGCATCTGGCAACAGTGCAAACATCTTTCTTTAGAAGAAAGGCTTTTAGCGCTTCTACTTGTTTTTTTAAAGACGTGTCCAAGTCATTTAGAACAGAGGAAAGAGCCACAGCGAACTCCGCTTCAGTCACAATGTTTATGACAAACTCGGCTCAGTTAGAATTATCAGGGGGCGGGGTTATTTGAATAGGAGAGTTCCCAGAGCCTTTCTCTGTGCAGAAATAAACAGAGGAGGAGTCTGGCAGGCTACAATCAAGGGGGCCCAAGGTGCTGAACATAGTGCAAAGAAGCAGCACAATAAAACAGCTCTATAATAAAATACAGAGATAAAAACATTTAAAAACAAAAATAAGCTAAAAACAATGCAAATAGTGATTAAAAACATTAAAATGTTAATAAAAACAATTAAGAAACAGATCTAAAATACAGCTTAAGCCTTGCTTTAAAAGTGGGCAGCGATGTGGACTGCTTGATTTCTTGTGGGAGTTGGTTCCAAAGCCGAGGACCCTGAGATGTAACGTCATGTGAAGCCCAGCAATACCTTATAATTGGAGCCTATGGAAATGTAATGCCTAGTATATATGTCGACGGGTGAGACGTCATCAGATGCCTAGTGTTTAAAC